CAATTTGGTCTTAGCTCTAATGTTCAGTGCAATATGAACCAGACATCAGTCAAGTCTCACTCTGAAGATCGCTGTGACAGTTAAACTAGACTGTCAATTTGATTGGCTTGAGAGCTGCCAAGGAACTTACTAAAGCTTACATCCATGTGTGTATGGGTAAGTCATGAAGGGTACTTTATTTAGGTCCTCCTCTCTGGTACTGTTCCCCCGTGTTCTGCCCCTGGCCATCATGAACTAAGCACCTTTACTCCAGTGTGCCCTTCTGCCATGATATTTCTTTCTTGGAGCCAGCCTATCATGAACTAAGTCTCTGAAACCATAAGCCAAAATAAACCTAACCTCCTTCAAGTTGTGGGTATTAGGTATTCTGTACTAGCAACAAGAAAGCAAACTATCAACCCAATATTTCATGTTGCTGCTTTGAGAAAAGTATCAAAGGGAGAAAAAAATTGGATAATGCCATGCCCAATGAAAACAATGATCTAAGAAGGTCTAGATTACACAAAATAATTACTACAGTGTGCACAAGAGACTGCAATTGTTTGCACTCAGTGGTAACTGTGTATTTTGTTTTACTCTCCTCGTAGAAAAATAGGAAGAAGAGAATCTAACAGAAGAATGAGATAGAGAGGAAGGCTCTTGATTTTGACAGAGTCTAAAATTTCTAAAGATTCAAGTTTTTCATTATAGAATATTTTAACCAGAAAGGGGTCTTTCAATCATGAAAATTACTCTGTTTTATAAAGAAGAATCCTGAGGCCTAGAGAAGTCAAATTTCTCACTCAAGGTCCCAAAGCTAATGATTAAAACCATTTTGTTTTTTTATGATCCCTGCAATTAGAAGGCTGACCCTGAAGACAGGCTCCCTAGTTTCAAGTCTTGACTATGCCTTTCATTAGCTCTGCAATTTCTGAATAAATTTCTTAACCTCTCTTATCCCAAGTTTCACCCTTTCTCAGCTTTAGTTTTTCAAGTAATGAGGGACAAGAATTTCACAGCCTTGAATTAAGGGTTAAATAGGCTATAACATAAGGCACTTGACAATCATACTTCACACTTGGGAAATGTTCCCCCCAAAAGTTGCTATGTATTTTCATTTTAATGCACAATTTAATACCCAGTCTGGTCCCGTGATCCTAAAATTATAGGCTTTCAAACATATGCTCAAACTTAAAAAAATCTAGATAGACTTGCTAGAGCTGTGGGATTGGATCTCTACTTGATCAGCATCTGCCTCTCAACTAAGAAAGAACAGCTAGTGATTGGAATCTGAAATACAAGATTTCAACTACTTGTTTGCATGTAGTCTAACATGTTCCCTCAACTACAGCTCAAAGAAAAAACTTGCCTACTACCTCTGTGTTTTACTGAGTTGATCAGAGCAGATGCTAATGGCCACTTTGAGGGCGACATTTGAGAGCTCTTGCCTCCCTTTGCTTTGCTTTGGCTGTTCATGCACACTTCTAGTTAGCCCTGTGTGTATGTGTGTGTATGCATGTTTGAGGAGGGGCTTGGCAGAAAAAGTTAAAAGAGAAAGGGTAAAGGGTTTAACATACAATACATGAAAATCACAGTAGATTAAGGGTACAATCTAGAAAATAATAACAGTATGTAGTCACTTTCACACAGACCACATAGTTCATGATGTGAGAAAAAAAATCCTTCCTAATTGATTTAATAATATCATTGACTTTTAAAGGCTTTCTCTTATATATTTTTCTATATTAGAATTATTCCCTAGAGTTTTTGCATTCACTGCTCAAAACCATTCTTTTCAAAAGGTTATTATTTTTCATTTCAATTATATTTTAATGACATAAAATTTGTACATGTTAATTGGGTAAAATGTGCTCTTTCAATACATGTTTATGATTCTTAAGATTATTGAGATTCTTAACTGTAAATACTCCTTTCCTTTCTTTAATTGAGAAAAAAATGTTATATACTGAAGGACATGAATCAGAAAGTACTCTTCATGTGATGTTACTCTCTGAAATGGACAATATTAAAATAATCAAGAATTATATTTTACTTACAGTAGCATAGGAAACAAAAAATAAGAGGACCTTGTTTTCAAATCCATTAATTTAATGCATAATTATTATATTATTTGCCCAGCTATGGAATAGGCAATGATGATAAATAAAAATATAAAAATGACTAATATTTTAGTAATGAATTTAACATGCATTTTCTTAAAAAGTATTTGATTATACTCTTATCCATTCTTATTTTTTATTTTGGTGAAAATTTAAAATCTTACTACGTATCAACATACCAATACATGCTTAATTTAAAATAATGTCTTCTTTTCCAAGAATTTTCAATTCTTATATTGGTTTAAAATCAAAGGATGTTACAAATGTTTCTCTTACATCGAAGTAAAAGCTCACCATTCAGGTTGTGTCTCTATGACACTTGCAATCTTTTAAAAAGTCCCTCTTTATTGCCACTTTTCTTAGAGTTATTCCTAATCCATTTATTTCAACCCTTTGTCATAAATTACAAGCTAAAATAAACCTTGTGTCTTGTTGGTTGCTTTCATTAAAAGAAGAGAAAAGAAAGAATAAGTAGATCCTGGTTTAGCATGGTCCAACTTTCAGTAGTTTCTATTTTCCCATTACGACTCTAACACTCATGTGCTGTATAAAATGTGTTTTATGCAGCCTATTTTAAAAGGTTTAGCTGTATATTCCAACTTTCAATGGTTTCTATTTTTCTATTGTATCTCTCACACCATTGTGAAAAGATGATGAGTATTTTAATACAACGTATTTTAAGAGGTTTATCTGTTGGGAGAATATATTTTTTTTAACAGTGCATATATCATGGTTCAGAGCATAAACAGGCTGTATTATTCAATCATTTGTAGAAAAGTCCAGGGCTGTTACAATTACATTCAATATTTTTTCTGAGTTTATATATGAATTTAGTTGAACAACTGATCACACAGAGTTTTTGTGGTGGTGATTGTTTTGGTTATATGCAACTGACCTATTCAATCCACTCAAAAAAAAAATAACTGTAAGGTTGAGAATAGGGTCAGTGTTAGGGCATTTCCTTCACAAGAGCAAGTCCTTGGATTCAGAAAAGACATCTAGAAAAGTGCATGTAAATATGGCCAACAGATTTTTATTTCAGTGCTGAGGATCCAACCCAGCAACCTGTGGATGCTTTGCAAGTTCTCTGTCTACTGAGATATACCTTCTTCTCCAACCCACAGAGTTATATATTTTTAGAAATTCTAAAAGCCTAGTATCCTATACAGTAAAGTAAATCATTGGCAAAAGCACTGTTGGCTTTTTTAGCATTCTGAGTCTTCTATTTTTATAAAGCAGCTATGTAATTGCTTACAAATCGCCAAAATAAATGACTGAAAAGGAAAATATGATCATTTATCTGCTTGATACATTTTGTTAAGCAACTCATTGTCTAATTTGTCCAGTTGCTTTTGCATAAACTGGGCACGATTTATATATGCACACCTAATATTCTAGCCCCGAAGTGTCTGTAAATAATACGTTTTAAGATGCTTTGTGTTATTATCATGTATGTAAAAAGAATGTAAGTGAATCTGTTAAAATCTGTCAGAAAATATTCACTCGTGTGCTTTGTTTTAAAAATTACATTTCTTTTCCCAGTACAACAAAGATATTATTTGAAAATACCATTTTAAACCATCAGAAACATTTAAGTAATATTTTAAGTAAGCTATGTAAAGCAGGGGTAGTTGCAGCTACAAAAGACAAAAAAAATTGTCACACTTTTCATTCTACTTAGTAGGCTGCAAACATTTATTTCTTCCTGATATAATCTTTAAAAAAATGAAAAGAATAATTATTAAACCTCAGCATGTTAAAATAAAATGGTATACTGGAAATGAAAGAATTCAATAGCCTGTATAGCTACAGAAAGATAAAATCCCAATGGATTTGTCTTTTAATTATTCGGGAGGTCTAAATTTCTGCAGCCCATAATTTTATTTTTCACCAGCGGAATAAAAATGACATTTTGTTCACGTACATGCAGCTGTTCTCTAGGTCGTGGATTCTAGAAAAGCAACAGGCGTTTGCCTCTGAACTCTTAACAATTAGAAAACTGCTACCCACACTGGCTGGAGACAGCCAACACAGAAGGTGGCAGCTATGATTCCCAACCATTCTGCCAGAGCTTTCAGAAAAGAGGGAGGAAGTAGAGAGAATGTGGACCCCTTTGAAATGAAAGGATTTCGCTATGCTCCCAACGCCCCACCCTCTCCATGGGCTGTTTAATAATCACGCTCTGTAGGGACGCTTAGCTTTCTGTAGTAAAGCAAAGCATTGGAACTCGACCCGACCCATTTTGCTTCAATTTAAATGTTCAAGACGAGGCAACACAAATTCATCAACCTCTCGCGTAGGAACAATACAAGGCTCCCCAGAAGAAGGCTCGGGGTCTTCCTCTTATTAGCGATCGAGGACCGTCTCCCCAGCCTGTTGCTCCTGCCACACAGAGTGCCTGAGCCTCGGAGGGCGGGGACCGTGAACGCCGCGTGCGCGCGCCGGCGGAGCCTCGGTGTCGCCGGGCGCGGAGGCTCGGGATCTGTGGGAGCTGCGGGACCTGCGCCCCGCGAGGTGGCGGCTGCGGACCCGGCCCGCGGGCCCCGACGAAAGCCTCCCGGCCGCCGGCAGATGGTGCCCTGCAACTGAGCACCAGGGAAACCCAGCTAAAGTAAAAGATCAGACTCCGCCCCAGCCAATCCGCCGGCGCAGCAGTCACCCGTCCTTCCCAAAATAGAGCCGAGCACGCTTCCTCCGGAACACCGCAGTAGCCGGTGTGTGTATGTGTCGAAAATACAAACCGGGACCGAACCAAGAGTGTGCGCTGGCATGGGGCGCGCGCGCGGAGTGGGACCCCCGCGTCAGGGGCGAGGTGACCGCCAAGGAAACACAGAGGACACGGGACCGGTCCATTTCGCATCTGCGTAAGCCCGGCCGCCGGGCCGCGGGGAGGCCACTCACCATGTTCACTTCGGAGACCATATCTATGCTGGCGACCTCGATCCGCATCCCGACGTCCACGGGGGGCCCTGCCAGGGAGGTGGGACCACATGAAGACATATTCCTGAGTGGCAATGGGCTAGGAAGGCTGGAGGGGGTTTCCCAGACCTTACTACATCCCGAACGGACTCTCTCCCCACTCCCCCCCCTTAGGGACAGCCACCCCGGGAAACAGGTGTGGGCACACGCTTGATGCAGTGACTATGCAGAGGGTGTGTCCGGTTGGGGAGGTCAGCTTAGCCTAGTATTCGTGCACCTGAGCCTGGGAGTCCTGCGTGTGTGTGTGTGTGTGTGTGTGTGTGTGTGTGTGTGTGTCTGTGTGTCTGTGTGTGTGTGTTTTCCAGGGTGGAATGCACGCTTACGAAAATGACATTTTTTTTTTCATTTATCTTTGTCAGAAAAGGTGAACAAGGGATGGGTTACAGGCTGAAAAAAGATGAAGCATTACCTCCAAAGTCCGGCCTCAAGCGAATGTCATATCCTTTAAGCAATCTGTCCACTGTCTCTTTCACGTATGACATGTTGCTGGGTTCATTGGCACTGAGGGGAAGAAGTAGGGACCGAATTCAACACGAGCACAAGCTGCGAGTAAACATAAAGAGATACAGGCACACCTAACCCCAAATACCAAGATACATGATCCGGCAGGCATGTAAAAAGAAAAACACCAAGAAAAAAGAGAGAGAGAGAGAGATTCAATAACGGAAGCTCACCTGTGTGCACAACAGACCATGGCAATCATCACTGGGAAAGAGAGAAGCCCCAAACTCTCTCGATTTTGTACTGTCCACATTACTAACTCTGATTAAAGAATTGTCTTTTCTGCGAAGATCCAAGGAATGCAACTTAGTCAGCGGCTGGGCAGTAAATCCCGAATGGACCTGCGCATGCGCAGAGGGTGCTCACTACCAAAAGACACCTTGTGCCTTGCAAACAATATTCCTAGTGGAACAGGCAACAGATTTCAGTCCCTTTAAAGTTCCTGTTTGAGGTGCTCCGCGTTCTCTGGGTAGTCAGAGGCAACCTGCTGTCTCCAGCCCGGAGATCGGCGATCGTAGGGCATGTGAATATGTAGTTTTCCTCGTGCACTGGGGCATGCTATGTTTCTTTCCCTTCTGCCAACAATCTGATTTTTTACTCCGTTCTCAGTGGTCTAAGGCTGCCTGTGATTTGCATCTTTCCTTGACAATCGCGGAGGTCCTAGAACGGGGAATTCTGGAGCGGGTTCTCTGGTAGCCAGTGAGAGAGGAGTTGGGAGGGGGGCATCCAGGAGAGAGTGGAAAGGGAAAGCCCTAGAAGACGTAGAAAGGGGACAGAGGAAATTCAGGATATATTTAGGCGCTGAAGAATCACGACCCCCTTCGGAGGCGAGTTAGAACACCTGGTTTAGATAATGTTTCTCCGTGGAAAGGGGATAGGGTGAGGCTGATCAACTTTTCAGCTCTCTGCCCTGCTGTCCTCCCCTTTCCTTTCTAAACCACTCCCAGAATGGCTGGGGAGGGAGCTGCTCTGGGCAGAGAATCATTTTTCTAGAGCCATCTGCAGCAAGTCCCGCTTTTCTCTTCTTTCTAGTATGGAAAGCCTCTTTCTTACACTGCCAGCAGCTTAGCTTGTACCAGTGACCCGGAACGGGACTCTGACTCTGAAAACCCCAGAGGGTCCAACCTCTGTTGACCAGTAGGTTTGGGTCGGTGTTGTTTGAATCAAGTGAAAGTCATAATGCAACACAAGTGAGGTGGTAGGATACTCTGGGCTAGGCGTGTATTCGTTTATTAAGTAGCATATATTACATTTTTACTATGTTCTAGGCATTCTGAAACTTACACCTGATTTAAAGAGGGCTCCTGACCTAGAGAAATTCACAGAGTAATTGCAGAGTAAATTCAGTGTATTTCTAGATACACTGTGTAGTAGCAGGAAGGCTGTTAATTTTCCAGGGAGAAGCAAAGATAGTTTGAGAGGAGGAAAAATTTGAAGAAGGGGAAGTTTTTGTTAGAGCAAAAAGAGATAGTATTCTAGAAAGATGAGGATGGTACATGCCAAACACTAGTGCCCTTTGGAAACATAGTCACACTTGGATTCCTGGACAGGGAAATGACAGGTCAGGTTAGAAAGAGAGGGAAGAAGCAAGGATTGCAAGGTGGGGAGGATATAAAGGGAGGTTGAGGCCATAATATGAGGTGAGTCACATTCTCTGCATGTAGGCTTCTAACATATGCAGAGCATCTTACCTCTGTTAGCCTTAGTTAAAATTTAAGTAGGGATAGGCCAAGGCAAATTTAGGTTTTAGACAAAACATGCTGGCAGAATAACTATGATAAGAACAATCAACACATATCAATTCCCGTGTGATAATTACTATGCCAAATTGATAGGCTGTGTCATTTGAAACTTAACAACAATCCAGATATGATATACATTATTATTGTCATTCACATTTTATAGTTGAGGAAACAAGAGACTAAATTAGGGTAATGAAACTAGTTGTACCCAACAACTAATAAGAAAAATCTGGATTTCAACCCAGAACTTATGGACATAACTACTCTCAGTGCTGTGAAGCATGATCCCCCAAAGGTAGGAACCATACAGGGAAAACAAGACAAGGGGTTATTACCATACCCCTTTTCCCAGGGGTAAACTAAAGTCAGAGAGTACTTATCATGAGAGAAGTGAGAGTATCAAAACATTTGAGAAGCATATTAGAGTCATCAAATAGTTGGAAAGTTAGGAGTTGGGAATATATGGAAGGTATCTAAAGAACTGTACAAATGTTTATACATATGTTGAGCTTACTGTTACACAAAAACACTAATTTCATTTCCCATTTTAGCTTCACAACAACCTAGGGCCATTTCTTCTGGGGATAAATGCTAAAGGTTAATTAGGCTCCCTAGTTTCTTTGAGAGATACCAACTCTTTTTAATTCAAATGGATCTGTTTTTAACAGTTAAAAGAGATTTCTTTTATTTCACATTTCTGCTGAAACTTAGACTCTGTGCTGCACAACTCTTTGCAAAAATCACACTGTAAGAAGTAATTAGGCTAGTTTGTTCATTCATTTATTCTTCAAATATTTATTAATTATTTACTGCATGCCAGACACTGTACTAAGAGCTGCTGATATGATAGTGAACAAAACAGCATACATGGTCTCTTTCCAAATGGAATTTTTCATTTAATACATCTATGGAGGCTGCAAACTGTCAGCCTTGTGAGCCAACCTCAGTTCATAAGAAAAGCATTTATTTTGGTATTCACTGTTCATTTAACTTACAAAACATTTACTGCTATATGTACTTTCTAGTTAATTATAATACCCTGAAATTCTTTTTGGATATCAATCGGACTTCTATTAACAGTGTTTGCTAAAGAACTAAGATTTTATTCTGGAATTGAGGAAGATTATCTGTGATTTTTATTCTTCAATCTTGTTACTTAGTAGGTCCTAGCGAGATCAATTTCACTGAATTTTGTTTTGAAATTATATGATTGTATATGATTATATGAAGGCATGCAGCAAGAAGTCATAAGATATCTATCATTGTATTGGTGATTGGTATGCCATCAGTGCCTTCCTTATGTAAGAGGACCTCTGGAGAAAAATTTTCCTGGACCTTAATACTGTGAAAATTGTCTTATTCCCTGAGTAGTTTGTGTCTTAATGGCAGAGAAATCATAAAATCCACCAATTTCACTACTTTGGCCACTGGAAATTTCAGAGTCATAAATACAACTCATCTTCAATCATTATGCAAATGTTAGTGACCTGCATTTCAATATATTAAATTTCTCCTTGATGGCTTAGAATTCTAAATTTAATTCCACTTTTTCACACTTTACTAATTTAAAAACAGATATGTTGCACTGAATATATAATGTTCGTAAATTGTCTTGGCACTAGGAGGGAAATAAATTTGAAGTAATTTAGAAACAAGTAAATAATTGAAGTTTTAAAAAATCATCACATCCATATGCATTTTGGTATTATTTTTTAATGTCATGAAAAAGCTAACACTTTCCTCCCCTGTAAAGTTGCTTATTTCTGCTCTGAATTGACTAGCTACTTGTTTTTTTCATTGCTGAGACAAAAATATCTGACACCCAAAGTTAAAGGAGGAAAGGTTTATTTGGCTCACAGTTTGTGGAGGTTTCAGTCCATAATCAGCTGGCTCCAAGGCAGGGTGGCTTGGCAGACAAGCATCCTAGAGGAGAAACAGCTCATGGCAGGCAGAAAGTAGAAAGACAAGCAAGGGAACCACAGCACTTTCTGTTCTTTATGTCTTACCTAGGCTACTTAGGGCGGGTAGCACTCACACTCTTAATCCTAGTGCCCTTGAGCCTAGCACTGCACCATTAATCAATTCCATCATCACACACTCTAGATCCAGCCACCTGTGAAAAAGCCCCACCTATGACTGCATGAGGCTTTGGGGGAACATCCAAACCATAACGACAACTTTTTCCCTTTCGTAGTTCAACTCAATTTTCACTTTTTTAAGTAAAGTTGCCCCTGAAGACCATTGATAATCTGTATTCTTATCTTCTCCTTCTTCTGGCTCTAAGAGGCAAAAGGGGAAATCTTATAAGTTAACATTCCTCTAGAATGCAAGTGTCTTAAAGGAAAATAAAACAAAGCTTCATACATATTCTTAGTATTTGATACACAGCAGTTACTAACAAAGAAACATAATAAAAAATTATTCCATTACAATAACTTCAAAACTCTTTAAGAGACCCAGGGAATATGGGGGGGGGGTTTGTAAAAAAGTAATATAATATTATTGAAAAACATTAAATAAAACCTTTGTAAAAAGTAATGTAACATTATTGAAAAACATTAAATAAGCCTAGATAAATGAGAAATGTACCACATATATTATTGCTAGGAAGAGTCAGAATTGTAAAGATATTGTACATTTAGTGCAAATAATGCATTCAATATGAATCAAAATTCTATATCTTAATGAAATCTGAGAAATTCTAAAAATCAAAATTAAAGAATGAAGGCTCAAAACAAGCCAAGAAAATGTGGGAAAAGGAAAGAAGTATGATATGAGGCTACTTACCTTTAGGGTATCAAGATTTTTCAACTATAGAAATTGTAATACTTTGTGTTTTGTTTGGGATTCATGTAAAGAAGAGAAGAATAATATAAGCAAATAAAAAGTAGAAAAATATTCCTCTATTTTAGGAAAAGTAGGAAAAGATGAGCTCATAGTAAATTCTGCAAGACAATTTATGATACAGAAGGGGAAAATACACCTTGTTACCTGATTACGTGATGAAAATGTGAGATGGTTGAAAATATATATTAAAATATAAAAATCAAATCTTCAGAATTTACAAAAACTGTATAGTCAGTGATGGCAAACCTATGGCATGCTTACCACAGTAAACATATAGAGCCCTCTCAGTAGGCATGCAAGCTAAGTCACCCCAGCAGCTGAGCATTGGGTATTCAGGTTTAATTGCAGGAATAGCAGTTTTTGATAAATAAGTGGGCTTTGGCTTGCATGCTCAGCATCACTGGTATAGGACAATGTCTTCACAATTTTTGATATAGGGAATGATTTAAAGATGAAGTATTAAAGAAACAACTTATAGAGATAACAACATTAACACAGAATCTTCTTTAAATAAAAAGAACCTACTAATATAATGAAGTCAAGCCACACAAAGGAAGAATATGTTTTCAGCAAACTTAACTCCCAAAGGATTTTTGTCAGGGATGTACACACCAAAAAAGAAAGGAGGGAGGGAAGAAGGGGGACCAAAATCCTTCTACCATTAAATAAGAAAGAAAAGACAAAGAGATATTCTAAAAGAGGAATTGAAACTTAATGATACACTATTTCTAACTTTTCATCTGATACAAATACTGGCTAGGAAGTCTCATATATTTTATTAGGCATAGGAATTTAAAAATATTTTAAACACTTGGAACAGATCAAATCAAAGATACATCTCCCCTTTGAGCTGAAATTTCTCCACAAGGAATATACCTTAGTGATACCCTCATGCAGTCTAAGAATTTTCATTGGAGTGTTATTTTTAATAGGGTAAATTGTTAACTTAAATCTTTATCAATTGGGAATCAATCAATAAGGTTGTAATCACACAGTAGAATACAAGTCAAAATATAGAAACATTAGCTACACAGATGAATTCCCCAGATAAAACATTAAACAAATAAAAACTGAGTCAAAGCAGAAACAGGTAGGCGCAGAATGATACTACGAGCCCGGAAACATTACTTGATGGTGAAAGTACTTTAAGTGAAAAAACCAGTAATATTGTAGTAAAAATATGAAGTAAGGATAAGAAGGATAGTAGATTTTAGGATTCAAGTGAATGTATAATTTTTTATTGTGTTCTTCATTTAGTCCTAGATATTGGAAATAGTTTATTAAAACAATAAAACTTATAAGAAAGTACAAACTGGAATGCTTTCTTTTCAATTTGTATTTTAAAATATTAATCAAAAATATTAATCCAAATCTATGACAAATAAATATACCTAATAAATAAATCTGCAAATAATTTGACATTTATTTCACAAAAGAATTAGATGATCAATAAATGTACTTTAAATCTCAACCTTGGTAGTAATCAAATGAATTTTTTTAATAAAACACCTTTCTATTAGTTTGCTACTGTAAAAAAATTTAACACCATGTATGGAGGCATTGGCCAGATCTATGTGTGAGATGGATGGATGGATGGATGGATCTATGTGTGAGAGGGATCTATGTGTGAGAGGGATCTTCTGGAGCTACAAGCCCAAAACTTCCCAGGATGTATAATTAAATATTAAAAGATAGCCTACAGGGACTCAAGTCCAAGTAGGATTGAAACACATTGCTTTAAGGAATATGTGCTTACACCCTTCCCTCCCCATACTCTGATTAATTACTTGGATTACCCTAAGGTCAGTAATGTAGCAGACTATCCTGTCCTTCCCTGATCTTTCCTTAGTTCCCTATTTGAATTCCTGTATAGGTGTCCTTCTCTTGTTTCCTGGTCCTATCAATCAAAAGCCATAGAAGCTTCAGATCAGCATTGTTTTTTTCTGAGACTCACTCACTTTGAGGGGACTTGGGTAGAAAGCAGTCCCCCTGGGCCTTCTGGAATGGAAGTAAAACTAGACATGAACTCATAGCAGTCTCTCATATTCTTTACCCTGCACCACAGTTGTGAATTGTGGCAACCAAATAGGGAGGCTATAGAAAAATATAATTTCATACACTTTGGGGAGAGTATAATTTGCTGCAATCTATCTTAAAGACAATTTGTACTACTAATAGCCATATAATATGCTATTATCTTGGTGCATAGAAGGAATTTGCATTATGTTCAATTGACCATGATTTCTGGTTTATCCTGATATATTGTGTTTTTATCACAATCACTTATTGTTAGTAAGGTATGAATTTTGGTAAGGCAACCACACAATTATTAACTTTTAGCATATTTACATAATCTTTGTTATGTTTTCATATTTTATTTTGTACATTAAATACAGTATGAATTTACATTTTTTAAATGTTGTGCATTGATATATTAAATATTCTAATTAACTGAAGCAGTATTTTTAATGCACATAAATGGGAATGGTATAATCTCACTCTGCATATGAATTTATTCTCCATGGATTTATTGTATTGTTAGGGAAAGTATGACTCTCTTTCATGTTACTTAATAATCAGTTATTCAACATATTTTAATGATAGTATAAAATATATTTCATATTTACTCTTCAGCTTTCTTTTTAAAATTTTTAAATTTATTTTTTACTGATACATAAACAGCATAAAAATTGTATGCAGTAATGGAGTACTATGTTATATTTCAGTATATGTATATGTTGCATAATGTTTAAA